CCACAACCTGAGGCTAACAGCCATGACAATACCACATCAACTCAACTCAGACACAGAAGTATGCCAAGAAAAACAGACCTTAATACTGTAAATAAACAACCAGAGATACAGTTGCAAGAACAAAAATCATAAAGTAAAACAAACGACTAATGTAGCTACAGAACTTCCAAAGGAAGAGGAAATCAATCAGATTTGAAGAATAAAATTAATTAGATACTGCGGGAAAGATAGTGGACTAGCCAAAGGCCTTTCATGAGCCCTCTACAGACAGATGACAGGCCAAACGAAACAGACACAGATGGGAAGTCTGTAAACCTGAAGGTCAGAGAAAAGGCTATAGACGTGGACAGAGTGCTTGCTGAGAGGAAAAGCTGAGCAGGGACGGTGAGAGAGGGAGACATCAGCTCTGGCAACAGAAGACTGCCCGGCAAAGAGATTCACACGGGTGACGGGAAAGCTCCACTTTCTTGTCCCTCTCTTCTGTTTTTATTCTTAAATGTTCTCATTATTCCTTCCTTTTGTTTTCTATCTTATTTTTCTCTCCTATAGCTAGCTCCATTTTCCTGTCCTCTTTTGTGCTTATAGTGTTCACATTCTTCTCTGGTTGCCACCTGTTTGTATTTATTATTTCATTTTGTACATTTCTCTTTTCATTGCTGGTTCCTGATTGGTTTTTTCGGTTTTGTTTTCTTGTGTGTGTGTGTGTGAGGAGAGGGATTTTCTCTTTCAAACCTGACAGGAGTGTGAAACCATGCCCATACCACCCAATCACAACTGCAACCTCTACAATTCCACTGGGCAAGAACCAATACCAAACCCTATACTACCTGATTCACCACAGACAGCAGCCAACACCAGGCAAATCCACCCTAAATTGAAGTGCAACAACGGCAAACGAGAATGGTGGACACACTGTCACTCTCTAACTACAACGACGGAAGACAGGAGCTGAGAGCCTAAGACCAAACCAACAAACAGACATCAATTAAATACGAATATGCCCAAATCCCCCAAAGACACCAGACAAGTTTAGCTCACATGAAGAAACAACAGA